GGCAGAGGTGACTTGTACAACAGGAAAGGGTTACATCTCAACTGGAGGGGAACAAATATTCTCGCAGGACTGTTTGTTAGTACTATGTGGCAGAGGGCTGGGAACAATAGCAGCAGGTCAGCAAGTGGAGGGATTAAAGGGAAGCTAGACATTAGGACCAGTAAGTCAGAAAGAAAGGACAGGCAGAGACAGAAATGAACACAACGGTACTAATGGGCTGAAGTGTGTTAATTTCAATGCAAGGAGTATTATAGGTAAGACAGATGAGCTCAGAGCCTGAATCAGTACATGGGACTATGCTGCAGTGGCCATTATAAAGACTTGGTTCAAAGATGAACAAGACCGGTTGCTTAACTTTCCAGGGTTTCTTTGTTTTAGACGAGATAGAGAGGAAGGTAAAAGAGGTGGAGGAGCTGCGTCACTAATCAGGGCGGATATCACATCTACACTCAGAGAGGACATACTGAAGGGCTCATCCAACGAGGAAATATGGGTAGAGCTCAAAAATAAGATGGGTGCAATCACTCTGATAGGATTATACTATAGGGCCGCCAATAGTCACCAAGACATTGAGGAAGAAATATGTAGGCAGATTATGGAAAGATGCAATAACAACAGGGTTGTCATAGTAGGTGACTTTAACTTCCCAAATATTGACTGGGACTTCCTTAGAGCACGAGGCCTAGACAGGGCAGAATTAGTTAAGTGCATCCAAGAGAGTTTCTTGAAACAGTATGTGGCTAGTCCAACTACAGGAGGGGCCATACTGGACGTTGTACTAGCTAATGAGCCCAGCGGGTGACTGATCTCTCAGTGGGAGAACATTTTGGAAACAGTGATCACAACTCCTTAAGTTCTAAGATAGCTATGAAAAAGGATAAGTCAGAAACTTATGGGAAGACACTGACTTGGGAGAGAGCAAATTACATCAATATTAGGCAAGAAATAGGGAATGTTATCTGTTGCAGTTGTTATTGGGCAAGCCCACATTTGACATGTGGGAGTTGTTCAAAGACCTACTGATCAGAGTTCAGGACCGGCATGTTCCAGTAAAGAGGAAGGAAAAGGATGGTAAAGTAAGGGACCCTCAGATAACGAGGGAGGTTGTGAATGCAGTCAAAAGGAAAAAAAGCAGCACATATAAGGTGTAGGAAGCTAAAATCGGACAGAACCCATGTGGCATATAAAGAAAGCAGGAAAGAACTCAACCAAGGAATTAGAAGAGCGAGAAGGGCCTACTGGTGAGTACAGAATCCCAAGGCGTTCTATACATACATTAAAAACAAGAGGATAACTAGGGAGAAAGTAGGACCACTCAAGGATAAAAGACAGAACTTGTGCTTGCAGGCAGAGGATGTGGGCAAGGTCCTAAATGAGTACTTTGCATCAGTATTCACCCAGAAGGTTATGGAGGATAGTGTGGAGGATGCTAACATGCTAGGGCATTTTGAGATCAAGAAAGAAGGGGTGTTGGGTCTCTTGAACAGCATTAGGGTGGATAAGTCCCCTGGACCCGATGGTATCTACCCCAGGTTGTTGGCAGAGGCAAAAGAAGAGTTTGCAGGAGCCTTGACCAAGATCTTCGTATCCACGCTAGCCACTGGAGGTGTCCCAGAGGTCTAGCGAGTAGTTAATGTTGTTCCTCTGTTCAAGAAGGGAAATATGGATAATCCAGGAACTTATAGACAGGTGAGTCTCATATCGGTGGTTGGGAAGCTACTGGAGAGAATTCTTAGGGATAGGATTTACACGCATTTGAGAAAGCATGGCCGAATAAGGGACAGTCAGCATGGCTTTGTCCAGGGCAGGTCATTTCTTACTAACTTGATTGAATTTTTCATGGAGGTGAACATGATCAACGAGGCTAGAGCAGTGGATGTTGTCTGCAAGGAGTTTAGTAAGGCTTTCGACAAGGTCCCTCATGGTAGGCTCATCCAGAAGATTCAGACCCACGGGAGACACGGCGATTTGGGCACTTAGATTCAGAACTGGCTTGCCCAAAGGCGGCATTGGACAGCGGTGGAAGGGTGTTTTTCTAGCTGGAGGTCCGTGACTAGTGGTGTTCCTAAAGGATCCATACTAAGACCTCTGCTACTGATGATACATACAAATGATTTGAATGAAAACTGTGTGTGCGCGTGTGCACTTGCGTGTGCGCGGTAAGTTTGCAGACAATACAAAGATTGATAGAGTTCAGGATAGCGTAGAAGGTTGTCAAAATATTCAGGGGGATGTAGATCAATTGCAGATACGGGTGGAAAAATAGCAGATGGAGTTTAATCCGTGTAAGTGTGAGGTGCTGCACTTTGGGAGATCAGATGTTGAGGAGAAGTATACAGTTAACAGCAGGGCCCTGAACAGCATTAATGCACAGAGGGAACTTGGTGTTCAAATCCATAGCATCCTGAAAGCGGCCACGCAGTGGACAGGACGGTAAAGGCGGCTTATGGCATGCTTGCCTTTATTGGTCGGGGAATTGAGTACAAGGGTCAGGATGTCATGTTGCAGCTTTATAAGATTTTGGTTAAACTGCACTTAGAGTACTGTATTCAATTTGATCACATTACAGGAAGGATCTAGAGGCTTTGGAGAGGGTGCAGAAAAGGTTTCCCACAATGCTGCCAGTATTAGAGGGTAGGAGCTATCAGGAGAGGCCAGAAAAACCCAGGTTGTTTTCTCTGGAGTGGCGGAGCCTGTGGGGAGATTTGATAGAAGTCTATAAAATTATGAGATAAATAGATAGGGTTGACAGCCAGAATCTTTTTCCCAGAGTTGAAATGTCTAATACCAGGGTACATGCATTTAAGGTGAGGGGGAAGGTTAAAAGGAGATGCAAGGGGTAAACTTATTACACAAAGAGCAGTAGGTGTGTGGAACACGCTGCCAGGGCAGTGCTGGAATCAGATACGATAGGGGCATTTAACGGCTTTTAGGCAAGCACATGAATGTGCAAACAATGCAAGGATATGGACCAAGGGAAGGCAGAAGGGATTAGTTAAATTTGGCGTCATGTTCATCACAAAGTCATAGACCGAAAGGCTCATTCCTGTGCTGTACTGTTCTATGTTCATAACTGAATCCATTTCCCTGTACTTTTATCAATTTGCTTTTAGAAATAACGTCTACAGCCATCATTCAAACACTTAGACAGACATAATGTAGACGTCATGAACTCTAACCCCCATTTTATTTTAATTTTTTCTACAGGATCCTAGGGTTGCTGGCAAGACCAACATTTTGGTAGCCCATCCCCAACTGCCTTTGTGAGTAGTTAACAGTCAAGCCATTTGTCCTGTTTAAATTGAACATTTCACAAACAATTTTAAGTCCATAGCTAACGCTCATCAGCACCCAGTTTGAATTGCTGTCAAGGTGGTTTGCTGGCAATCCCCACATCCTAGGAGTAAAAATTTTCAAAAATCTATTCACACAATACCTCACTACTCCTTAATATTAAAGGAGCATCCAAGAATAATGCATTAAACCCACAGGCAAATTTCATTACGTAGTAAAAATGAAAATAAAATATTTTATGTAAATTAGATTTGACTTTATTTAGCAATATAACTGATGTGATTACACCTAGATTTTCTAGAAACAAGTGAAGTATGGGAATTTATGATCTTATTACAGTAATGTCAACTATTTGACCAATGGAGCTTTTATATTACAAACATTACAGCCACTGGCTCTCTCATACTTTAACTTTAAAAGGTCACCGCCAACTACAAAGAACTCCAGAAATATCACAAGACTAAAATGCCATGATTATTATACTGAAGTTCCAGCTGAATACAGTAACAATAATATCAGCTGCAACCCTTAAAATAAAGAGAACAATTCACAAGTAGATCAGAATGGCTGTTCCTTTCTTGTTTGTCATTTTTACCTCACAGGTTTCCCCTTTTACAGTGAATTTCTGGTATATTTTGAATTAATTACCTTTTTTCTTTACTTCTCTTTTTTTGGTGCTCATTTAACTGAAGTGGGTAATTTGTTCGTCATGCATTGGTACTAAGTTTTCTGGAAAAGATTTTGTTTCTATTGTGTCCCTTCCACAAATCCAAGTGTAAATCAGTTTAAGATGCCAGGTTAGAGACAGAGTTCCACAATTTTGGATCAATACCCTACTACACAGTCATGCATTTATGAGAAACATCCCCAAACAGATATTACACAGTCCTTTCCACTTCCTCTCACAAATTCTAACAGCAGCAGGAAACAGGCCTCTTCAAAGCAGAGTAAATTGTTCCATGATTGCTTAATTCCTCTACTTACTGTTTAAAAATTACACTTCCACCTTCTGCAAACCTCTGCTAATGTCACTGCGAAATGCACAAGGATTATGGTGTTGGTCATCTCTTAACGTTTAGACAGAAAACACAATGAAATCTGCAAATAGTCCTTTGCTTGTTCAATAATGAAAGGATTCTTGCAAATTAAAACAATAAAGTAACTGCTTACAATGATTAGATCACCAAGAAATTAACTCCTTAACCACACAAATTGTTTTTAAGTAAGATACATTATGATTTCAATTTCACATAAATGATTCAGCTCCACATTTTACAAAAAGTCTTGGCGCTCATTTCAAAACAAGTGGTACAGCTCACACCCTCCTCAGAGTTCAATAAACTGGGCCACAAACATCTTACATTCAAATCTGTACTTACTTTTTTCAAATTCATTGATGTGGCTAGGCCAACATAATGTTGCCCATCCCTAATTGTAAAGAAGGTGAACTGGTGGAGAGTTGCCTTCTTAACCAACTGAAATCCTTGGCACACCTACAGTGCCAAAAAGGTGGGATTGCAGGATACTGACCCAGCAATAGGAACAGTACCTTATTTCCTGAAGAATGGCATTAACAATTATAAAACCAAGTGCAAACCAAATCAAGAGCAATATCATGACCTGTTATGATCCTTTTTTAGACAACAGCTCAGACAAAGAATGTCCACTTGAGGTGTTATTGGGAAAAACCTCCAAAAAAGTTATACCTCCAACTGAGTGTGTGGCTGGGATTAGGCGAGCGCTGTCCTGTTCTGAAAAAAAAATTCTTGCACATTCCTGATGTTGTCGTCAGTCCATGGGGGCACACCACACGAAACCCTTTTGAAGGGCCTTGCTGGATACTCCAACATCGTGAGACTAGTTGGGAAAGGAATTGTCTAAGAGACAAGCCTTAAAAAAAAGAAGAGTAAATGAAATGGAAAAAGGTAAAGCTGAAAAACAACTTCAAATTAAATTGCAGGAACTGAGTTTAGGGACATCAAATAAGAACCAAACATAGGACTGGCATCAGCAATCGCAAATAATGGCCAAAACACAGGTTACAAAAACTTTCCTGAAATACTCAGGCAGAAAGCAGACCTACTGACAGGTAAGTCAAAGACCAAGTCTACAAGTTTACACAAATGCCAAAGGAACCAAAGAGATTTATCTTCTGCCTCTAAAATTCGTAGAAACAGACCGATTAGTGACAAGAGGAGGATTTGAGGCCCAGAGCAGATCAGTCACGATCCTATTGAATCGCAGAGCAGGCTCAAGGGGCCAATTGGCCCACTTCTGTTCTTATTTCTTATGGTCTTATTGTTGAATGGTGGTGAAGGCTTGAAGAATCGAATGGCCTACTCTACCTCCTGCTCGTATGCTCTTATTGAAGAAGAAACAACTAGATAAAATACTTGAAAACTAGAAACAAAACCATGCAGGATTTCAGAGAGATGGTACAGATGGTACCCCACTGTCTCCCACCCCATATGCTGGATGAATCTGACACATGGAATGAATGCAGAGGCCTAAAAATGGACATTATGCTGCATGAAGTCTTTCAAATGCTGAACAAGATTATGGACCTCATAGACCCTGTGATCTTAAAAGTGTGCTCCATTGGTATGAAGATACAACTGCCTCATTTACAGTTCCCATTCATTGTCATATCACAGGGATACAGTGTCACACTACATGGAAATCACAGTGACATTACATCACTCGGAAATATCCATCTAGTATGTTTAGGATTACATAACAACACTCTCATCTTCAATAACTTCAGCAGCTCTTCCTGACTAGTAAACAGTACCGTAACAGTCAGTCCTGTTATTCTACCTTGAGCCAAGTCCGTATGGTTTACCAGAAGTGTCAGCTGGCAAGTGTGTTAGGGGAACTATACAAACATTAAGCCAAAATAAGCCAAATGGGATGAAATTTCAGCTCTGTATTTTCATTCCAAAACATCATTAAGACTTTCAAACTTGAGCTAGAACAAACTTTTGCATAGTTAAAGTAGTTCTAAAACCCAACACATTCTAACATATATTCCTTATTTCCATAAAATATAATCATAAACTGGTACCTCAACATGCAGAGATCTTGACACATTCATTCTATTACAATTTAGATGAAGTCCCATAAACCCAAAATCACTTTAAGTTTTACACATTGGCACAACAGGCAAAAAAAAACTGTCTCTCCGAATTTCTGAAATTTTCGGATTTGTGATCTCAGATCAAATTTACAAAGGCACAACAATTACAAAGAAGAAAGATTTTCTGAGTTTTAAAACTAACTTATAGTACTATCTACACCACCACCACTCCTCATACACAATATAAAATGTCGACATTTGAACGTTCCAGACATGAAAGCGTTAATAAAAAAAATGTTTCAGCAGTTAAAGCTGCTAGCAATTATCACAGAAAAACTTCACATCATTTAAATTGAAAATCCCATTGTATTTCTTATCCCTTTGCTGTAGTGATTAGATCATAAACCAATCCTGTCTCCAGAGTTTTAATCACCGCACAGAATTCCATGTCCAAGGTCGTCTGAGCTGTATGTAGCCTGTTGTAACTGCCAGTTTTGAAACAGAGAATGCAGCTCACGGGGGCGATTCCCCACGAAAACCAAAGCTGGTCTTGAGAACGAGTTTCCTTAGGTCATTACTCTGGGCAGCCCCAACAATGGAAACAAAAGGCCTAACATTTCAGCAAAGGAAAGCCAGTCTGCTCCGACTCTGAACACTACCAAATGCGTCCCACAAAGGAAGTCACTCAAAAGATCTACTGATTCTGTTTAAATTTTGTAAAATAAATCTTGTATGTCCGGGACAAACAGGAAATTAAATGCCAGCCGCTCCATCCAGACTGCATGGATATAGGACGTGGCAAAAATTTCAATAGATTGTGGGGTTAACTTTATAAAACATACATTGGCTCAGCTCATTAAGTTAATGTTTCAAAAAAGTCGCCCATCTTAAATACAGCTTCGAGTTAGTTTCAAATCCAATCCCCTCCAATTTGTTGAGGAACACGTCAGACTGATCGCAGGGGAAGAATCTTTCGATGTGCTTACAAGTTCAAGACAAATTGGTCCTTCCAGTGAGACCTCCAGTCTGAGATTCACCTCAAAGACAAATTACAAAAATCAGCTTCACAATTCCTTACCTCCCTGACAAGGAAACTGTGGCTTTTGAATAAAAAAAAACAGCTTCATAATTCCTTACCCACCCACCCCCTCCCTGTTTAGGCGTGCAGCCCAGGCCTAGGCGGGAGCCTGTTGTGGGCTGTATGTAGCCTGGGATGGTTTGAAAACCGGGCGACAAGCTTCGGGGTGGGGTAGAGGAGAGCTGCTCTTTAACACAGAGACGGGGGGGGGGGGGCAATTGGCAAAAGTGCGGTCAAGTTGTGCAGAGAGCGGAACCGTGCGGCACTCACCGGCACAACACCAGGAGGACGGCGAGCCGCTCGGGAACCTGGTGGAGTCGGGCACGATACAGACGCTGCTCGCCAAGTGGGGGCACTCCATGTCGGCGGGGCCTGGGGCCTGGAGCCGAGGCCAGGCCGTGAGAGAGGGATGGGAGTGGGTGGAGGGGTTGAAGTGGCGCTGCTTCTCTCTCAGTCCTGTCGGGAGTCACTGCCGGGGGGAGGGCCGTCTGGAGGAAGGGGCGGAGGCCGTTGCGGAACTGTCTGCCAGCGGGGCCGCTTTCTTCCTCTCAAGCCGCCATCTTCCCGGCCGAGCCGCAGCGCAGCCTCCGTTTCCCCCTCCTCCGCTGCCGCCCCCAGGCCTCGTGCTGTCAAGAGGGAGAGGAGGAAGGGTGGTTTCTGCTTCGACTCCTTTAGAAGCCCCCCCCGCTAACAGTTAGGGGAATGGCGTCTGTCTGCTGGCCACCGTCTCAGTAACGGCTACCCCTCTCCATAGCAACCGATCTCCCCCACCCCCACCCCCGTCACAATGAGCCCGCCCTAACCTCCCGTTTCCACGGCGACGGGCTGGTTTGGGGAGGTGGGGTGGAACTGTGACCTCACAATGCCTGGGGAGCTTGAATGTCAACACAGGGTAAGGAGACTTGGTGGGGGTGGGAGAAAGAGGGAAGGCAGGGAGCTAGCCCAACTACACTGGGGGTCTTCATCATAGGTGATGGAGGTGTACAGGGTAACCAGGGTGTCAAGGCGATCAGGGGTATCGAGGAGAAAGGGGTCACCAGAGTGTTAATCAAAAATGATGCAGGTGTAGGGTCTAGGCCTGAAACGTCAGCCTTCCTGCTCCTCTGATGCTGCTTGGCCTGCTGTGTTCATCCAGCCCTACACCTTGTTGTCTCAGGGGTACGACAAACTGGGTTAATGGAGCTAGGTGTGACCAGGGAGGTTGGTGACCGGAACAGAGGGGTGATACAAGAGGTTCCGGGTCATAGATAGGTAACCTGGCTTGTGAGGTAACACAGTGTGGAGCTGGAGGAATACAGCAGGCCAGGCAGCATCAGAGGAACAGGAGTCGACATTTCAGACCTGGACCCTTCATCAGGACTGAAACAAACCTGTTACTACAGCTAGATCTCCTTTCTCAGTACCTGCCTATGCAACTGGCATATCCCCAATGGACTCCAAACAACGTTCAGACCATCCCCCCCAATCCTGATGAAGGGTCTAGGCCCAAAACATTGACTCTCCTGCTCCTCTGATGCTGCCTGACCTGTTCTGTTCCTCCAGCTCCACACTGTATTGATTCTGACTCCAGCATCTACAGTTCTTGCTATCTCCAAGTGGCATGTGAGATAGTTAGGATCATGTTGTAAGTGGCCTATGGACAGCCTGGCTGTGGAAGTCACTTGAGCTTTTGGGAGCCTAGCTCTGACCAGGATATATCCAGATATTTTAGAGTCTGGAGCTTTCTGGAAGGGACTTGATATTTGAGTAATGTTGAGACTAAGGCCATGTGAGAACCTGGAACTACGACAGTGTTTCCTGGGCCTCAGATCTCATGGAGGTGTTCAGGTCAAGGAGACTTTCACTGGGCTTTGGATCATGCATGCATACGTATGTTGACTTCCTGGACCTGGGACAACCTGGGTATGACCAGAGTTAACTGGGCTTTGGAGACCATGACCTTGTCTAGGAATAATTAGCATTTAGAGGAATGATAGAGGATCTTGTGGTTTACTTACCCTAAGGGGCATTGCCATCACTGTTGGTGAAAAATGAAGCTAAGTGGAAAAATTTCCAGATCTGATGTTGCTTCTGAGCATGCCTCAGGAATTCCTGCCAATGGTAAACGTATGGCAATGTGATAAATTATAACAGTAAACTACTAGAATTCTTGAAGTACTGTGTAATAAATGAATGAGTGTGGCATGTGGGACCATGAGGATAAGGGCAAGTTCAGAGACACATGCTTTTATTGTTCCTTTGACTTGGAGCGTTGGACAGTGCATAGGACCCTGCACACTGTAGCCTCTAAGTGCATTAGGGAGTAAGTGAAAAACAATTGGTGAGAGAGTCAGAAATTTGAGTAATTTGTTGTCAAGTTTTAATATGATACACACTTCTTGGACTAAAGTATTTCTGTCATTCTTTCTATTTTCAAACATAGCTTCACAGACCTTGTAAGTTCGTAATTCCTACTTATTTTGTATGAGACCAAAGAAAATAGTAACTTTAAAGTGGTTGTTGTCCAAATAATAAAGAGCAGTGAAAGGGGTTGGCACTGAGGAATGGTCAAGAAAAGTGGAGACTGAAGAATGACCAGTTAGAGATCTTTATTATGGAAGAGTTTGATATGGTAGATATAGTGGCAATGTTTCAATTTGTTGAGAGACCAAAGCTAAAAAGAAAGCCTAGGCCATTAATACAAATACACAACAACTTTTGTGTTTAACATCCCAAGGCTTTCCAAAGGAACATGATGAAATCAAGTATTACCCTGAGTCACATAAGAAGCTAAGTTGGATGACACAAACGCTTTATTTTATAAATTCACTCGTGGGGTATGGCTGTTGATGGCTAGATCAGTATTTATTGCCGTTGAGAAAGTGGTGGTGAATTGTCTTCTTAAACTGCTGCAATCTATTTGCTGTAGATATACCCATAATGCTGTTGGAGAGGCAATTCCAGAGTTTTGATACAAAAACACTAATGGAGTGACGATATATTTTCAAGTCAGGATGGCTTGGAGGAGAATTTGCAGGTGGTGGTGTTCCCATGTATCTGCTACCTTTGTCCTACTAGATAGAATAGTCATGGGTTTGGAAGGTGCTGTCTGCGGATCTTTGATGAATTTCTGCAGTGCATCTTTTGGTAGCACACATTGCTGCTGCTGAGCATTGGTGGTGGAGGAATGGATGCTTGTGGATGTGGTGCCAATCAAGTGACCTGCTTTGTCCTAGATGGTGTCAAGCTTCTTGAGTTGTTGGAACTGCATCAATCCAGGCAAGTGGAGAGTATTTCATCACACTCCTGACTTATATCCTGTAGATCTGGGGAGTCAGGAGCTGAGTTACTCACCGCAGTATTTCTAGCATTTGACCTGCTCTTGTAGCCACTGTGTTTATGTGGCAAGTCCAGCAGGATATCAGTAGTGGAGGATGTGGTGATGGTAACATCATTGAATGTCAAGGGATGGTGGTTAGATTGCCTCTTACTAGAGATGGTCATTGCCCGATATTTGTCTTGTTATGGACCAGACCAGAACCCCTCAAAATATTTTAAGAAGGTAGCCTAAACCCTAACTTTTTCTTTTTAAAGGCAAATGTGAAGTGCCTAGATGCAATGCAACTGGTTAAACCTCTCAGTGTTAATCAAAATACAATTTAGTTAAACACTGCAGTTAAAATACAACCAAAGAAAGAGGAATTTAGAATAACTTACCTCTATTGGTAAACTTAACAGAATAAAAAATACAGTAACTATTAGTGATTAACTGTCCCAATATAGTAACATCCTGTAAATACACCCCTTGGCAAAAAGGAAAATTCAGAGAGTAGCAAATAGGAAACATCCACTGAAACTTCCAACTGTGTTGAGACCCCAATAGCTTCTACTTGAAGCTAAACCTAGAAACCCAGAAATCCTCATCTGTGAGAGCTGGCCACAGCCATTCAGGATGTTAAAAAAGAAACCCAAGACCCAAATCCCAAGCTGTTTACTGTAGTTGTTCTGGTAGACTGGTTGGTGCCACTGCCTCACAACATCTCTTCAAAAAAACCAGGACAAAATAACTTGTTAAAGTCACAGCATCATCACTCCTTCATCCCTTAAAAAAAAACCATCAATACACAAAGATGGCTTGATTTTTAAAAAACCCTTAGTCTTACTCAATTAGTCCACTACAATACATATCAGTTACGTTTACTCTAAGCATGCAAACATTCACTACCAAATTCTATTTCAGTCTGTTTACTTCTGCTGCCGAACACCTCTGTCTTTCTTCATCGAAGTCACAACAAACACATCGACAATTACATTCTCTCGTCCTGCCACATGTATAACTTTCAAATTGAATGCCTGCATTAATGAGCTCCATCTATTCAGTCTGGAACGTTTGTCCTTAAATTTCTCAAAAAATGTTAATGGATTATGATCAGTATATACGATTCTCTCAGATACTACTGGCAATATAAATGTTGTAACGCCAACAGCAAGCTCAAAGTTTCCTTCTCAACCATGGAATATTACTGTTGATGAGTATTCAATTTTCTGGAAAAAATACCCAACAGGTCTTTCTATTTTCTCATCATCTTCTTGTAAGAGTACAGCACCAACTCACACATCGATAACCACCTTGAGTGGCTTCACATGATTAGGTGTGGCTAACACTGGGGCAATGGTTAACACAGCTTTCAGGCTGTCAAATGCCTTCTGACAGTTCGCCATCCACTGAAACTTCCTGTACTTCTTCAGGAACTCAGTCAGTGGAGCAAACTCACTGTTAAAATTTGGTGCCAACTGCTAATAAAACCCACTCAATCCCAGTAACCATAGCACTACAGTCTTCATCAGTGGTATGGGAAACTCCCCAATAACCTTTGTTTTCACATTCTGTGGGGCCATCTGCCCATGTCCAATAACATTGCCCAGTAATGTGACTGGGTTTTTGCAAACTCACTCTTAGCCAGGTTGATCACCAAGCCTGCCTCCCAAAGTCGACTGAACAATTCCAATAGA